GGAATGGGTTGCCCAAGGAAGTTGTGAATTCACCATCCGTAGCAGTGTTCAAGGCCAGGTTGGACAGAGCCTTGGGCGACATGGTTTAGTGTGTGGTGTCCCTGCCCATGACAGGGGGGTTGGAACTAGATGATCTTAAGGTCCTTTCCAACTCTAACCATTCTATGATTCTGTGGTCCCCCAACACATCAATATGCTCATCTTATTTCTTCTTATTTCTATTATGAAGTTGTCAAGGCAGCAGTTGCCTCTTTGTGCATACAGCATTTAGCCTATTAGTATAATGTGACCCTGATCTTTTCCAGAATGTTGCTGCTGAGTTAATTTTTCTGAAAAACTGATAAAAAGATTGAGAGCATGGTTGAATTAAATTAACTGTTTTAACAAAAAGCATGAAATGTTTTTAGCTGTATGAAGAAATACTATATAAGCCATCAACACAACCAATTCTAATGTACTATACAGTAAGCCAAATTGGAGGGTTTTCTTGCTACATTTAAATGTTAAAAAATTGTACCCAATGGAATTTTATCAGGCATGAGCAATTTCAGGAAGGTCAAAGCTTTCCTTCCATTTACACGTTCATTACTGCCCCACAGTATTTGGCAAATACATGTTTTGTTTTAAATAGTATTTCCATTTCATTCAAGTGCAATTTATTAACACAATAATTTAGAAATAAAGTGTCTATACCAAAATATAGGACTAGCTTATAAAGTTTAAAAATACACAGCATAAACTATATCCACTTAACACTATATAAGATTACATATCCTAGCAGAAAATTACACAAACAAATTTAACAACTGACAGACTCATTGGGTGTTCCCAGATTCCTTATCTCCTTCCCTGATGTCCCATCTCCTAGCTTTGTATGTGGCAAAGACAACTTAGGGTCATTACAGGTGTACATCAAAACCTAGGCATAATAAACTTATGACAGGTGGCTTCTAGAAAAAGGGGTAAGAGCAAAAACCAAGGCACAAGATGACATATTCTATAGCATATAGTTGTACTGCGTTAAGATATTGTTGTCTCAAGCCTTTACTGGGTATCTCTGCCATAATTAGTCTCCGCTAAAAAAGTGAATTTGTCCCTGCCTGTCAGGGCTTGACCAAAATTCAGTCTCTTCACTTAAACCACTGAACTAATTTACCAGGCTGTGATTCTGGGTAGATAGGGCATTCCACACAAATATCTGCTCCTTGCTACAGATATTGTTTGATCTAGCATAAGATTGGGGCAGACACATGGCATGATAAGGTCTTAAACTCAGGTAGCCAGATGTACCAAGAGTCATCTGTCATGGTTGTAAACTGACAGAGCTGAAAATTGCCATTTTTTGGTGTAATTATTAAAACTAATTTGGTCAAAATCACAGAGAGCAACTATAGCTATTTCTCACAATGAGGGACTTAGGTATATAAGATATTAAAGGTCAAAGCCATGAAGGACTATCAATGTTTACTCTTGAATAATTTTAGAGGATGGAATTAAGCAATTTTATTAACTTGAGTCACTTCTAATGAAGAAGGGCTCACTGGTGTTCTCACTGGGAGAATGCCACTGAATCATACCTGTTTAAACTTCCTGTTAAAGCAGTGTAGATTCTCTGCTTTTCTTTAGAAAGATAACATGAGTTAATATATTTCTTTTAAGTGCCGCCTGGCGGTGTTGAAGGAAATGCTGCATTAGCCTTAGGCACATTTTGTACCACTTTCTGGAACACTGAATATAAATCTTCAAAAGTAGAAGGTTCCAATCTCATTTAGTCTTGATTTTGTTTATAAAATTAAAAATTATGGGTAAAAAGTTAGCAAAATAAGCTGCTTTACTTACAGTGATGTTCTTAATAATTCCAAGAGCCCACTCAGATAACAGCATCTCTAAGGCTAAACTATTATTAAGAAACCATGGAGTATGTCTTAGAATAATCTTTTTAGCTTTATGTTACAAAAAGAGTAATTGAAACATGAGTTGTAGTTTATCTATAAACAGTCTTAACATCATCTTGGAAGGGAGCATCTCTTCTGCATTAGTGTCCTCTTAAGGAAACTATTCCAGAGTAGGTCTTCATTACTGAGATAGAGATGAACAGTATAACAAAACTAACTTGGGCAGTTCAAAAAAACCCGAGGTCTTCCATTCTGAGTTATGGGCCCATCTAAATAGGTGTTTTCTCTCCGGGAGTCACAAATCTGATACATTTATATATTTTTAAAGAATAAGTATCTATGGAACCAGGATTTATGCAAACTTCCCAATTAATACAGTACCTTGGGCAGAAATACCTATAAAGCCACATTTGCCCTGAAATGCCTTCTCTCAGTTCCAAACTGTGGACATGTATAGCCAATGAACTGGGTCACATAATGTGTGAAGGCAAGACACCAAAATATTCTGGGAGTAAAACCAGCTTTGATCCCTAAGCAAGGCCTTTGCACAGAAGTGTATCACAGCTGGGAAGACAGCCAAGAAATCTTGTATTCTCTTCTGTCATAAACCCTGCCAAGTCACAGCCATTTTAACTACTGCAGATTGGCAGCCCCTTAAAGCTAATTAATTTTTAGACCAAATAGCCACCGTGTTTCTGTTTTACTGAAAATGATAAAAGAATGGTATTGGGGGACAAAGTACTGAGAAATCAGATGAAATCTAGACCAAATGTATTGTTTCACTTGCAAAGTTGCAGTGTTTGTAAGAGGAAACTTGCACAATGTAGTGTCTATTTGCTAAGGAATAATGTAGTATGAGTCCATCAAAAATAGCATGTTTCAAAATTAGGTTTTTTCCTCATAAAATCTCAAGTTTGGTACATCCTGGGTATGAAATTTATTAACCATGAGGAATGAACAAACTGATGGCCAGCCATCCTTTTCCTTCTGGCATGTAAATCTACTTTAAATAACACATCTGGATCACTGTAGGCTGTGAATTATTTTTGCATGTTTATAAGACTGCTTGGTAGTAAAAAGTTTTACAACATAAAGGACTTAACTACAGTGATTTTTACAATATTAAAGTCTCTGTACTTACATCAACAATCAGGAAGTCCAGCCAGCACCAGGCATTAGTAAAATATATTTGAAAACCATACGCTACCCATTTTAAAAGCATTTCCAAAATGAAAATATATGTAAAAACTTTGTCAGCATATTCCAGCATTGTCTTGATAGTTTTGCGCTGTTCAATATATATATCTTCAAAAGCCTATGAAAAAATACATTCAGGTATTACTAATGTTTCACAGAATATACGATAAAAATAAGCTAGTTTCTCCCCTTATTCTTCCTCATATTTCCCACCTTTAACTGTACTACAAATTGGAGCAATTTGCCCTGTCTGAAGCTGTATATATATATATACATATATATACTATTTTACTAATGAATGAAGAAATAAACTCAAAGCACGAATTTTCATCCAATGTGGTATTAAGAAACTTTCATATACATGCAAAAAACCCCTCAATTCTTATACAAAACCTGTTCCAGATATGTATATTGTGTTCTAGAAAGCAGTTAGGTAGATTACATTTCTGTCCTCCATCAATCCAACTTATGTCTAACAGTCAAACTAGAGCAATGTATTTGTTAGAATGTACACTTTGATACTGTAGCAAATGTTAAGTAAAGCTGGAGAGATGGCTAATGTAAATCTTGTTGGAAAGAGGTTGTTAGGTTTAATTTGTTGTCACACTCTTCCCTATCTTCTGCTTTCAAAAAGGAACAGAATGAACTAATTATTTCATTTTTTGTATGGTCTTTCATAAGCAAAATCCAAGAAGTAGCTGAGGCTAGAAGGAATGAAGAACTTAAAATCATGCATTTAGCTATATATTCAAATGGTCCTTTGTACTCAAATCTCTTGACAAATATGATGAAAATTGGCAGGCAATTTAAATCTTGAGTAGAAATGCTGGCTTAAATAAAACTGTTCCAGCTTTACAGTGGTAAATCAAAAGTATGACTAAAAAAGTGCATGTGAAATTTAACAAATTTCTCAAGTTTGGGCCAAGTTTCATTCCATCATGAAATGCTGGAATGCAGGTAGTTTTATTCAGCTCCAAGTAAAACAAGTCTCTGAAGCAAATCTGAATTTTGCTGTTGCTTCTAAGGAGATATGTAAATATTTCAGCATCTGCAATTTTTTTCTACTTACTAGTGCTCCACTGCTGAGGAGAATCATGAAGACAATGAAAGTCTCAAACCAGTTGTGCTCCACTATGCTGTAGCAGGTTTTTCTGAGATTCCACCAAATTTTTCCTTTGCCATCCTCTATACTTACTTGACAACATGGAAATTTCTTCACACAACCTGCATTAGATTAAGAGACATTAAGATCCAAAAGTAAATTATTTCAAAGTCAATATTTACTGTGGTATCAACATAGTTAAAAGCTTTAACAAATTTGATAATAATTTTCTAAATTAAACACTGGAATCCTCGTTTATAGGATGCTGAATATCCAAATTTAGGTAAGTAATTTGAGGAGAAACCGCACAATAGTGAACATACAGCATGAGTAAGCAATCAAAAAAACCCCCCACTGATATTTTTGACTGTTGGCATGTAAACTGTTCTATTTGTTGATGGACTATGACAAAGATAAATTTGTTCCAAATTTCAGGGGCCCTTCCAAATCAGTGTAAAGTGTTTTAAAAGTAGGAAAGTTAATGAAGTTTCTTAGTTACAAGATCTATGCAGTGGTCAGGCAGATAAAGTTACTCAAAGCCTAGGGGAACCGTGTTTTGATTTCCATTGATTTCCACCATTCTAGGTTGAGTATTTTCTTTTGATTGTTGGGGTCATGAAGGTCCACCAGATTTGAAAGCCCCAAGAACTTAAATATGCCAAGTAATAATGCCATTTTAGTAATACATCTCTTAAAGCACAGTTATTCTACAACCTTCTGTAAAACAGGCTTCAGGTTCAAGAGCTTCTTCACTTTCAATTTCTGCTTGCTCGCCCTCTCCAGGAGGAGCAATATCAACTGTGCTGCCTTCTGATGAACTGGATGCATTTAATTTCTGCAAATAAAATTCCACAGAACAATTTTTTCTCATTAGATAGATATTCTGTAAAAAATGATACTGAATGAAATCATGCCAGTCTGACTTTTGAAGAACGCTAAATTTATACTGATAAATGTGCATCACCATAAGTAAAAATATAGTAATGACACGTGCATTGTATAGTTCTGTTTCCCAGTTTATCTTCTCATAGGGAACAATTATATATAACTTGTCTACTGACCTTGTCCATGTATAAGACTTCTGAAGTATTCTCAGTAGTATTAAAACTGGAGAGCTTGCATGTACCACACTCTCGAGTTACTTCATTTACTGGATTAGACTGAAAATGTGTATTAATTTTCCCAGCGAAATGAACTAACAGAAAGCTCCCCATATATCTTCATGTCCTCTACAGATGGTGTTTTCATAAACATACACCATATCTGGATTAAAAATTTGTAAATTTAATGGCATTTATTGGCAAATTTCTGCACAATCTAATTTTTTGCAGAAAGCACAAATTATATACCAGATCCTAAATAGCATCTTTGCATTCCAGTCTCCTGTGCATACTGAGAGACCCCCTGAGGTTCTTTCCTCAGGTCCTTTCAATCCTGAATTTTTCTATCATTCTACTACTTTTGTGTGCAGTAAAATACTACATTCCTTACTACGGTAAAAGATTAGTGATATAAAGCAACTGAAATTAGGTAACCTTTTACCAAGTACATTGAAACTTGGATCAGGTCAAGCTGTTTATCATACATGCAAGACTGCCCATAATTTTGTCCTTTTAAGAAAGCATATTTTGAAAGGACAGACTTGCCAAAGATACACACAACTAATGCCATAATCAGACACAGAGTTGTAACTTGTATTCAGTTGTCAGTACTGTGTGTCTTTAATTGCTTTCATCCAAAATACATTCTCTTTTACTGTGAAATAAGTCTTGTAATCAGAAAGCAACATTAAAAAAAACACGTCAGTGAAATACTTCTGTTTCATACCATGTAGCAGTAATACACAGGAATTTCGAGGGGGATGGAGAATGCACCTCTAACTAAGTACTTCAAATTGTACAGGCATTGATGTAGCAAATGGGCATTTGGTCACAGACTAGATTTATTGTTTCAGCTAAGCAGATCTGGTCATGCCCTTTGACCTATATGAAGACCTTTCAATAAAAATTTTTTGAGAGAATGCTTAATACAAGTTACTTTTTACATTTAGTTTTCAAGATAGTGACCTTTTTAGAATATATGTAAAGAAATAGTATTCAGATGATTTGAGTGATTTTGCAACAAATAATAATAACTTTTTATAGAGGTATTTCCATGTATTCTCTTCTTCAGAGACACTGCTGCAAATTAAAACTAGTTATTTAACTCTTCAGTTCCTTCAGGAAAATGCATCAGGAACTAAGGGCTTTTTTTCTGCCAGAAATTAAGTAAATGGCACATACATCTTTATATAGTTTGGTAAGCAATTCTTTCTTTCCTCATATTCAACTCTTACATGACATGAATGAAGTTTAAAAAAATATTAATGTTGGGTGATGGATAATTTCAGGGTTAAGTTTCAAGAAGCTGCCCTTCACACACATGTGCAAATGCGGTCAGTACAGGGTCACTCAGACTCAGACTGCATGGCTGTTACTGCACTGTGACCAAAAATAAAGGACTTGTTGCATAATAGATAAGATTTCTGATGGGCACACAGGTATGAGTTTGAAAAATATTCTTTCCCTTCCTAAATATTGTGATGTCATTCACAGAAAATCATGCTGACAAATGTGAAAAGATTTGAATACTTTGAGATTTGGATGTTGGTTAATTTTTGCTTAGTAAACTTGTAAAAAATATAATGTTTTCCTTTTCATACTGCTCTTCCTTTATAATTTCCAAAACTTATGTAAGTAAAATAATTACAGCCATATTGTCTCTAAATAGAATTTTGTTACTGGTCATGGAGATCAATAAGTCTTAAATAAAATATTATGTACCTCTCATTGTGAGAGTATTTTAAACTTTGCTTTCTGTATTACATTTACAGACCAAAATACACATTAATGTATGCTATATTAAGCATTACTAGCACACCACCTTATTATACACACATAACGCTCTCTTTTATAAAAGAAATGAGATTTGTGAATTAACTTTATTTTTATATATCGTTGTAATACAAAGAAATAAGAAGTCTTGAACTTGTCACTGAAATTATAGGCAGTTTCTTCATTAAATAAAAACCAAATATTGTGAAAATAAGAATCTGTCACATTCAAGTTAGGAAAATTAAAACTAATTCATGGCCTGATCCATCATTACAAAATCAATTACTGACTTCATAGTAGCAGGATAGAGGTTCATATTAGGCATCAATTATTAATCTATATGAGTACCAATTAGAGAATTAAAAGGCACTCAATTTTTTAACTGCATCTTCCCATGTAAACTGTTGCAGATAGTCTTGTCAGCATAGTTGCTAAAAAACAAGTGACAGAAGTGCTGTTTATAATCACTACAAACAAAACCTACTATAACTCTCTTCACTTTTTTTTTTCACATAAAGCATTCTATTAATTTTTTTCCAAATAATTTTAAACAATCGTATTATAAAACCAAACTCATTAAGTTAATAAAACTCCTCTTTGCTTCAGGACCCAAAATTAGAAAAGAATCATTACTTTTTAAATAAGGTGACTTTAATGCTGGGGTTTTTTTCTAGCAATAAAACCAATAAAGCTCGAGATACATTATGGATTAACACAGTCTTCTTTTCACCTCATAAATGTGATTATCAGCCCCTTGAACATGCCATGCCCTATAAATACTTATTTGCAACTTCAGTGATATCACATTTTCCTCTACAAGGATACATTTGAAAGCAATTGCTTATGATGCAGCATTCTCAAGGCCTGAATCAGCAAAACAACATGCTTGACTACAGCAGAAGCCTGAGCAATACTGTGGAAATCACACACAAAAATAAAATAGAAAATAAGACTACCTCAGTGGGATTGTTTGGTTTTTTTCTGAAAATAGTATTATATATAAATATTATTGCGTAGGATATTAAAAAAAAAAAAAAAAGCTTCATCACCAACCCAAATACTTGGTTAATATATGTATAGTCAGCCTCCGTTCTGTCCTTTCAGAGCAGTGCATCTCTTTTAGCTTTGATCATTAAAACAAGCTTTGACCAACAGCATGTTAATGTGCCCATTTACAAGAAAATGCATTCACCTAAGACCTGGTCTTGCTCTCATTTGATTTTATTCTAGATTTCAGTAAGAGCAAGAGCAGGATACTAAAATTTTAAGCTTTACAAACGGCTTCATGATTCAAGTGACAATAAAATAAAGGGATTCAGCCATTACAAATTGCCTTTAGTAATTCAGCCATGTGGTTTTATCCTTTGGGTCTTGAAAGCTGCACTGTAATTGAGTGACAAAATATAAAATAATGGGGATCAATGACTCCAAAGTGATTCTAAACTGACTTTCAATCTTAGATGTTATGATATTTGACTTTTATAATATATTGAGGAAGCCACTTTAAAAATCTGTTTCCTTAGAGTTTTTAATGTTCAAAGCATATCTTGGTTTAAAATTTAATCAGTAAAATCTGAGAATTTTCAGAATAGACATCAATATTAATTTCTTTTGTCATCTCTGGAAAATCTATACAACAGTGTAGTATAGGTAGATCAAACTAAACTGTAATCAATAGCACAAAATGAACCATTTGGTTATCCTTTTGAAGCCAGCGAGACTCTGCCTGAAGGAAACAGCTTTGCATCTTGCTGTAGGACTGAAATCTTAATCCTAACAAAATTTTGACACCTAGTTTTACTAGGATAACTTGACCTCCTATGTTTCACGTAACTTTGGCTCCTATGCAATATTTGCTGTCTGTTCCTGAAAGCTCTGACAATTATGCATCATGGAGATTATACTTGCCTATAATTAAAAAAACCCCCCAAAAATGAAAACCAAAAAACCCCAAAACCTAGTGTAAATATACATGGAATTTTATAAAAAATTAGGCTGGCTACTCCACAGTCTTTGTAATTTACACCAAGTGAAGTCCTCCAACTCAGTCACAGACTGCTATCACAAAACACCACTGTTTATGAAGGAGTTTAAAATTTAAGAAAAGAGCATTTGTAAAATGCTTTGCTTTGAGAGGTTTTTAAGGGGGGTTATTTACTAAGTATAGTTTTAGCAATTATGAAACTGTTTACTCTGCTTACAGTTCATAAAACTCAAGATATGCACTGCCCAAATGAATATAGAATGTAGTTTGTAGCATCTTTAAGATTTGCATTACAGTGCGTTGTAGATTTAAAAGTATAAATTGCATGCAAGTGGCTACTGCAATAATTTAAATGTTATTCATGAAGGAGCTGAAGTTGTGGCAGTAATCATTACAAAAACCACTTACCACATTTCATTAAATATCTACATTTATAAGGGCTGAATCAAAAAGGGCTGTTTTTATTTTTTAAAAACTATGCATGCTCCCTTTTTTTTTGGCCTCTTTAATGTATAACATTCCAGTACTTTTATGATCCATACTTCAAAACCTGTAGAGCATGCAGTTATTGCTAAACACAGTATTAAAATATTCAGAAAAATCATTAGCAGGTTAAAAAATGTATGTTGGGGTTGCCAATCCCACCTGACCATGCTGTGATGTGAGTCCCATGACTCAGCAGAGAGCAGCTGTGCATGTTTGTACTGTCTTGCAATGAATAGGAAGGTACATAGCTGAATAGCATGCAGGCCAGTCAAAATCCACTATATAGTGATTATATATATATATACATATATATGTATAACTTGCTTAGGTAACCTGTGTGAAAGTGGTGACACGTTGCTCTACCTGGTTAAAAAGCACCAGAGCTGCATTCTTGATTGCTCCAGCTTGGTTTTACCCCTGTGAGAAGTAAGAATGGTAGGTAGTGAAGTTCAAGACACAGGATCTCTAGTTTTCCTCTTTTTGGAATCTCTA